TTACCATACACCAACACCAAAGCAAGTACGTTGCTCATTGATAAAGAAAAAGAAAGAAAACGACATTTTGATGTGATTACTATGATTGTTTACTATGATTTTGGAAAGTGAGATTTGATAATTTGCAGGTCGATTCGAGGTCAGAATTGGATGAAATTGGTATGGTTGCACTCGTAGTTGAATGGAAATTCGTAATTTGGTCAGGTTCGGGGTGTGATTGGGGTTGACTTTTTGGGTTGACTTTTTGATTTGAGTTAAAGATCTTAACTTTATCTTTTGGAATCATTTCATATGGTTTTTATTGATGATATTGAGTTATTTTGGTTAGATTCAAGCCGTCCGGAGGTTGATACACGAGGGAAAGACTTGTTAGAGGAGTGATTTCGCTTGCCTGAGGTAAGTATCTTACCTAAACTTGATTGGGGCACTAGTTGCCAGAGTTATTTGTGATAGCTACGTGATAGGGGTGGCGCATATGTGTGGGGTTGAGCCCATGTGAGAGTATCAGGGTATTTATTCATGCTCGGGATAGTGTTTAAGCTATGAATTGCCTTAAATTAATTGCTAAGCCTCATGCTGTGATGTTTCTCTTATTTGTACCTCTGTTGTGAGCTACTTGAGCCGTGTTTGAGGTTGCATAGAGGTTAAATCTCCTGGTTAAGCCTGATAGCTACTATTTTTTTATATGTATTCACCTGATTTGAGCTATGATATCACACTTGCACATGCATCACCTTAGCATGTCACTTATACTAGTCCGGGATTATGAAATTCGATGTTCTTTGATCATGTACATGTATTCTTACATATTTGCTTTATGTGTGATATGGTTTGGACTGGTAGCATATGATCACACCGGGCGGATTGAGATATTGTGCATGTGACCATGCGGGACGAATTGTGATATTGTGCTTGTGACCACGCCGGGCGAATTATGATATTGTGCCTGTGACCACTTGTGACCGTGCCAGGCGTATTATGATATTGAGCATGTGACCATGCCAGGCGGATTATGCTATTGAGCATGTGACCATGCCTGCCGGATTATGATTATTGCGCGTGATTGGGACGTGCAGCGTGCGGATATGGATCCATTTTCCTAGGGTCACCCTCTCATGTGTCTTCTTGATGGTGTACACACGGATTTGAGAAAAACTGACCAGTGGTTGGTACGGGTATGGAAATTCTGAGAAAAATCTGGCCAGTGTTGTTTGGTTGTTGTATTTCATCTTTACTTGTAATTTTCTTGGTTATTTGCCCGATTTACTTGCATATCATCTTTATATGCCAGATCATTGACCGAGCAAAATACTTGAGTAATTGTGTGCACCAAGATGGTTCTTTCTGTGCTTTATGTTTTGATCATATTATTGTTATGTACTTGTTGAATTTATGAACTGCACAGGTTATAACGAGTATCATTTATAGTTCTTGCCTCTAGTACCTCGTCGAGGTTAGTTATGATACTTGCTGAGTACATGGGGTCGGTTGTACTCATACTACACTCTGCACTTAATTGTGTAGATTCGGGTGTCGGACCCAGTCACCAGTAGCGAAATTGTGCTTGCTGAGTGTCATCGAGAGACGAGATAGAACTGCATCCAGATCGCAGTCTTGCATCTCTTTCCATTGTACTGTTGTCTATAAATTTAGACAATATTGTTATTTAGCTTTGCAGACTTGCATTTCCATTTTAGAGCTCATGACTCTGTATTTACCAGTTTTGGGGGATTTATCATATATTAGCGTTATTATGTTATATTGAAGGCTTTAGACTTGTATCATTTTGTAAATTCTGTTATTACATTTTATCTTGTTATGTTCGGCTTGCCTAGCAAGTGCGTTGGACGCCATCACGCCCAATTGGTGATTTTGGGGTATGACATGAAAGATCCACCAACACATCCACATCTTAATACTATACAATACATCAAGACAAAAATCAAATATCCATAGCCATTTACATCCCAAGAAAATCCTTCCCGTGATATCCAAACCGTATAGGTATAGTTCTCAGTCATATAATATTCATCATAAAGCTATCTTGTCACTCACTGAGCCATAGATCCACTCCTAGGGACGCTACTAGAAATAAGAGTCCAAAAGTACATACTCACATGATTGAGCCAGTCATTATATTTTAGAGTGAGTTCGAGGTAAGCGCAATACATTAGTCTTCTGATATATGTTCATGCATTCATGATTTGCCAAGCATCTATCTCGCCACTTCAATATTGACCTATTTCCTTTCTTTCTCTTATTTGACCAAGTATATTTCAAATCTCTAAAACCAAGGTCGAATAATGTATTATATTGGTTAAAAAATTCAAGAAAATTAACCATAGTATTTATTAAGTGAAGAAAATATTACAAATTAATAGGAGATTGTTGGTAGTTTATATTTTAACAATCTAGTACTTTTGTTTTGTTGAAAAAGCGGTCAACTTCAAAATATAAGGCTACAAAAGTGATATGTGTGGATCAAGCCCAAAAAACGTTTATAGGATTGGGCCCATATTAGAATGACTCAACGCTAAGGACTGTAATTACGGAAAGCCTTCACTCGTGTCACAAAATCATGGCCTTTTCAAATACGACAAGAGGATAAAACCGACATTTGAGCATAGAGAATACAATAGAGATGGGGAAGTCGTCATCCTACTCATCCCTCTAAAATAACAAATGCTTTTAAATTATGAGTTGTGTGTACAGTTTTAGTGAAGCAACAAATGCAGTCAATGTACATGAATAAGCTCATTAAAATATTTTAAAAAATAAACTTGAAAAATATTGCTCGATTAAAAAATTGTGCAAGTACCACCAATCCCTATGAATATCATACCTTATTATAATTATAATTAAAAATGATTATAGATGCTGTGGGACCCACTCCAAAGGGATGTGATTAAAATAATTATAAATTCCCGAATATAAATCGCAGCGGAGTCAAAAATATTAGGTAATATTATCTTTCATATGTCAAAATCTTGGTAGATAGAGTCATCCAACACCTATGCTGGTGGGAAGTAACAAATATCACGCAAAATTAATTTTAGTGCATGCAATCTAGCTCGAATATCACGATTATCAATTATAACAATAATAATTGTATAACAATTATAGTAATAAAAAATACCCAAAATATAGAAATTGATAAGTTCACTCTTTTTTCTTAGGAAATCCAAGAATAACCCCATCACAGAAAAATCTATTTTGTCTCATTGTGTTGGTTAGCTGCAGTTTTACAACCTTAATTTATTCTCATACTAAATTAACTTATTAATTTGTCCTTTTTTTTTATCGTTTTAAAGTGAAATATAATTTTTTTTAAATTAATTTTCTTTCTCATTTGCTAGAAGTTAATTTTTTTTGCAACTCACCATATTTTTATCTAATTCGTATTAACCTATTGATTTGTCCTTTTTTTCGTTTCAAAAAACTGAAACATAATTTTCTTTAATTGATTTTCTTCATTCAATAGAGTAAAATTAGTTACAACTAATTATATTTTTATTTACTTAGTAGATTTCACGTTTTTAAAATGTCAATTTAATAAATTAATTAGTTAACTAAATTATCAAAAATAATGTTATGAATAATTTTATTTTTATATTAAAAATTATATTTATTTTTTATTATATCACCCTCTAAATGACTACTTTTAAAAATGGAAAAAGTCACTAATAATTCATAATAATTTATGTTAAAATTAGCTTTTATTTGTTCAAGTAGAGTTAGTCAATATTTGTACTAATGAAAGATAATAAAATTATATAAAATTAATATAAGTTGACCTGAACACTATAATTATACGGAAAAAAGAAGAAGAAGAGGAGTATAATTTTCTAAGAAAATCTTTATGATGGCCTCCTTTTCAATTAAAAAAGAAAAAAAAAGGACAAAGGGGTTAGGGGGTTTGTTTTGTGTAATGATTGTAGAGAGAAATGGGGAGAAGGGTTTGGGGGTGGGGTGAGAAGTGGGGCCCATGGAGGGGGGCAACCTTTTGTGGTGTGTTGTTATAGTAAGAGGGACTCTCACTTTCATGACTCAGTAGTCAGTCCACTCTTGTCTGTCCTCCAATTTTATTTTGTAGTTTTCTCTTTTGCTTTTTCATCATAATTCTTAAGCATATTAGAAAGAACAATGACACCTGAAATTATATAAAAATAAAAGCTTTTAGATATTCAAGGAAAATATTCGTACTGTCCTCCATTAAATTATTCTGATGAAAGTTATAGAAAGACATTTCCTCCCTTTCGATCTTTTTTAGTTTTGGAAACGAATGATTCCTTTTTTTTTCTTTTCTAATAACAGTATATCTCGATTTGTTTGTGAGTAACTCGATTATTTAATTAGATATATGCTACACTACTAGCATGATAAAAAAAATTACCTAATATTTTATTTATTTTTATTAAAATTTAAACCTTATATTTTAAGGCTTGCATCCAATTTATTGACCTTTAAATTAGACCATTGGGGCACAAAAATGACTTATTTTTGTGGTTTAAATTATAAGGATATCTCAAACTCAAATAGTATTTTTGAACATGTGAGAGGCTCAATATGAGGGAACGAGAAAGAATTTAATAAAATATCATAGAAATATAATTTTACGTGATGATAACATAAATATTTTTACAATATGATGTATTTTAACCAAGTGTAAGTTAGTAGTAATAGATTATCTATAATTATTCTATACTATAAGTAGTTATTTATTGTTGTATGTATGATACTTTAATTTGATAGGGTTTCGGATTTAAAATAAATTGATTCCTCAGATTTTTATTTGTTCTTTTTTATTCTGTTAAAGGTGTTAAGATTCCGTGAAGTAGAAATGAAAAAAAACAAATCTGAAATAAACAAATGTAAACTTGCAGGAGAAAATTGACAAAAAAAGAGAGAAACACATAATAAAAAAGGGGCAAAATACTCTTAACCATCCAAGAACAACAAGGGGCACATGGTTTCTCACTTTCTCCCCCACTAGTTGTTATATCAGGTTTCTTTAATTTTTCTTCTCCTTTATTTTCACTTTTTTTTTCCTCCTTCCTTCATTTCACCTACTCCCTTTTTTGTGGTAATAATTCTATTATGTAAGCTTATTTTTGTGTAGTTTTCTTTAAGAATCTGTCTATTAAATTGAATTTTTTGGGGGGTAAGTTTTTTCATTTCTGCATACCCTTTTCGTAGCTAATGAGAATCTGTTTCGTTGTAGGTTTTGATTCTTTGATGGTAAAGGGGTTTTATGGTGAACTTAGGAATCTGAACTTTTGGGCATAGCTTGCTGTTATATGTTGATTTGGGGATTTTCTTGGATCCTCTAGTTTTGTTGAAATGGATATCAAGGTCTGATTTTTGTTTTCGCTTTTGTGCAATATGATGGAGTTTGATCTTTCATTGGTGTAAATTTGGGGCTTTTTTTGTGTGTTGGAAGAGGAAAAACCAATTTTGGGTTTTGTCTAAATTTTGCTAAAGGGAGAGGCTTTGCTCAAATTTTGAGATTTTTGTGTGGATTTTTCATCTTATTTTACCTTATGGGTGTTTCTTGGAAGAATTGATTGTTTAGTTGTTTGGTGGACAGTTTTGGGTGTTGAATTTGATTGGTCAAAAATGGAAGAAGACAGAATAGAAAGTGGGATCAAGATTAATACAGAAGAGTCTCAGTGTTTTGAGATGGAAGTGGAATCTTGTGAGACTGGAATACCTGGTTTGAGCAATGAGAATGGTGAAGGAAGCCATGGAAATGTGGTATTTTCGAGAGAATCTCCGCTTGTAAGTAAAGACTTTAGATCATCTGCTATAGTTGGGGGAGGAGGAGGGTGTAATTGTGGAGTTAATAAACTTAAAGCCAGATTGTCTAGTTCAGACTGTGAGGTTGGGAAAAATGAGAAATCGGGGCATGAGAAGAAGCTTAATAGACAAGAGAGGATCGAGTTAGGGCGATTGTTTCAGGGTGCTGTGAGTTGCCATGACTGGGAGCTCGCCGAGAGTTTGATTCTACTGGCGGATCCCCTGACTCTGAATGATGCATTGTGCATTGCTTTAGATTCGATATGGTTTTTAAGTACACAAGAAGAGTTATATGGGATAACAGGGTTGATTAAGAAGATCATTTCTAATGGTGCCTTTGATTTCACTCGGGCAGCCCTAAGGACTTCATTTCTTGCTTCTTGTGTTTCTGCTTGCCAGAGTCGAACTATGAGCCTCGCGGATACCGTGACTGTAATGGCACAAAGGTCAGAGATTTTGCCCTTTTCCCGTTACATCATTTATGTGATTGAAGTTGGACTTTTCTCACATAAACTTGAATTTACTTTTTGATGGTAGAATAAGTCCAAAGGATATTGAATTTTCCATTCGATGTTCTACCATCTCTTAAATATGCATATCTGGTAAAATTAGTACAAATACTGCGTATTGTTTGAAATCTTAAGTTCTTCCAAAACCATGAATTTTGGATTTCCGCTCTGCACGTAGGTCTAGAAAGATTTTCTTGTAAATCTAATTTCTTGCTGGCATGCATACTGACCTGACCCTAAAGAGTCATATCTGTTCACTTGAAAGAGCATCTTACTAGCTTCTCAGTCTCGAACAATCTGTGAAATTCATATCTGCCCAAAATTCTTAATTCTTACATTTCTACTTTCAGTCTTCTCCAGACATGTAAGCATTAAGAACATGCATCTGCTTATTGGTAAAGTAAATAAAGAATCTTGATATAATTTTGCTGTTCTGTTGTTATTATTTCTGCATGTTTAGGATTTCAATTGGTAATGATTTAAGAGTTCGAGTTTTAACTTTTGATATTTTTTTTTTCCCCTTCCCTTCCTTTTTCACTTCATGTCTATTTTATTCTTATGTTGGGTGCTTGTGTTGCTCAACTTTTGGCTGGATTTTCACCGCTACTCTTAGCAGGTTGCATGAACGACTTCAAGAGTGCAATGGGGATGAAGTTTTGAAGGCAGAAGCTGGTGCTAAGGTTCAGAAGTTCACTGAATGGGCTCTTAAATGTATTGGTTTCCATTCCCGCTGCCAAGGGAACAGGGATAAAGTTGGGCATAATGCTGCTGTTGAAATACAACTACAGTTGTCGGCTTTCAAGACTTTCCTTGATCTTGCTGGGAACCACCTTACAGGAAAGGATTTCACGGAAGCATTTGATGCAGCTTGCTTCCCGCTTACGCTCTTCTCTAGTTCGTTTGATCCGGGCTGGGCATCGGGTATTTCAGCTACGGCAATCCAAGGACTGCTTGGCATGTTGGTGGAGGGCGGTGCGGACAATGTCAACCAATGCTTTCTTGAAGCATCTCGTTTTGGGAGCACTGAGCTTGTCCGCATTCTTCTCCAGGTATACTAGCATTTACAATATTTGTTTTGTACCTTTGCTTTTAGAAAGACGTATCCTCCCTTTTAGTCAGATTTACTTCCTAGTATTTTTCCAAGGTTACTGTGTTTCTATGGTGCTTGATATATTAGGTTTCACTTGTAATGCTTGTATTGTTTGACATTCTTTTTTTCTCGCCCTTAACTTTCAGTCAGACTTAGAAAAGTACTTTTAATATTTCACCCCAGTTTCACTTCGAGAAAAAGCAACAGAGACGTAAACAAGTAAAGAAAAATTTACATATACACCACAACACCGACGAAGATCTCAAGTTGAAGTGATTTCCTTAATCCAGTTCTTCTCCTAGTGCGAGGGCAGTTAAACATCCAAATATAGTGCAGCATGCTGGAGTGACTTGTTAGGTAGAAAGTTGATTGAAACTTCATTAGAGTGGTGTCTTTTTGGCCTTTATTTCTGCGCGAGAACTCATTACCTCTACTAATATTCTAGTAAGTTACACCATAGCATTGAGGTTTGAAATTGGTATATCCTAATGAATTAATTATTGAGAAGATTCATCAGAGTTCCACTATTTTTATGCTGGTTGTCAACCTATCGCAATAGCACTGATAATTCTACAATATTCAGTAGGCATTGTGTTGGATATGGACAAACATTAAAAACAAAAATCTTGAAATGAGAAGACCATGGCTTGAGCTTCACTAGGAAGAAATTGTAGGTTTTTGTATATAACTAGTTACGTACGGTGCAAATAATGTTAGGACTATCCAGCAAGAGATACGAGGGGCATTTTCCATCAGTTCTTTAGGTTCAAACATCACATATAGAGTTCAATATGTGAGCGTCAATATACAGATTAAGAAAGCATCTAAAGTAATTTAAAGAGAGAATAAAAGTTAAAATATATAATTAATTCCTCAATGTAGTAGCTGCATCTCCCTGCTGTGAAAAAGAATAGTAGGATTGTCCCCTTTGTTCCTTGTCCTACTTCGAACTCACTCTAGAGAAGGAAATTGGAGATCTGTTCTTTCTGGTGTGTCAGAGGTGTGCTAAAGCTCTGAATTTAGGTATAAGCATGGAGCTATGCTCCGGTTATGAGGTGTTCTAATTCATAGTAAGGCATTGGCCATGGCTCATATACACTAACACTAGGAGAGGAAACTGTTAAACAAAACATATAACAAACAAAGGTACATACAGACCCGCACTACACATATATAGATTGAGTGTATGAGAGAAACTGTATGGATGATCATGGTAGTGGTCTGAAATAGGAAATGAGAAGCTTAGTTAAAAATCTAGTCACCAAATCCTTGCATTAGAAACTTATAATCTGTTAGGAACCTAAAATCGCATTTTTGCATCTGAATCAATAATTTAAAATGGTCATTGAGGATTGAGCTTTGTAGGCCACTTTTTACTTTGCTATGTTTGACTTTTGCTTTTCTTTCTCCCCCATTCATTTGTCCATATATTATTGTTTGTGGTAATATTTTTTTTTCTCGTAAGTATACAAGATTCTTTTATTTTTCTCGTCATTTGTACCTTTTTCACTAAACTGCAAGCTTTAATTGTACTTTGCAGCTAAAGTGCTAGTAGACTTGGCACTTTTATGTTTTTCGCCTTTAACAATGTTGGTTTTCTTCTGAATGTCATTAGAAAATGACACAATTGATCATGTAAAAAATGTGTTTTCTACTTGAAAGAAAAGAACAAAAAGGTGGGATGTAGTTTCCTGATGGTATTCAGTAACGTGGGGGTTTAACTCCAAATACAACAACTATGCTTCAGTCCCAAACAATTTGGGGTCAGCTGTATGAATCTTCGTTGACCATGTTTCTCCATTTAAACTCATCCCAGGCCAATATCATACAAACTAGAAATGAAAAGTAGAAGTACTAGAAGTTCTCTATATCTTCTACTGGCATATAAATCTCTGACAAGGCTAAAGACTCCTAGAATATCATTTTCAATCCCGACGTGTTTCGGATGCTTGAAGGCCCGCTGACACGAAGTGCCTAAACCGTGAAAACGGGATTGTGGGAGAGCAATACAGCATCGTGCAACTAGGCGGCAGAGATGGAAGAGTTCAAACACGTGAATAAGAAGCAAGTGGTCTTCCTTTTAGATCCTTTTGATAGAGGCATATGACCTAGAGTAGACGTACTAACATGACTTAAACATCCCAACTAATTGGTATTGCCCATATAAATCTTTTTCTTCCATTTTGCCCTATCTTTTGCTAATTACAAATGGATTCCAAGAGATTATAGGTTTTTTAAGACAACTTCTTTCCATGTAATTTTATGTTTACCTCATTCCCTTTTAACATATTCACTCACCCTGGGTTCACATCTACGAACCGATGCATCTGGAGGTCGACGCAGGACATGACCGAACCATCTCAAACAACCTCTCGTTTTTCCTTTATATGTGCTACTTGTACCTTTTAGCGAATGTGCTTATTTTAATGTTGTCTTATCTTGTATGACTGCACATCCATCAATATTATATCTTTGAGACACTCACCCTGGGTTCACATCTACAAACCGATGCATCTGGAGGTCGACACAGGACATGACCGAACCATATCAAACAACCTCTCGTTTTTCCTTGATATGTGCTACTTGTACCTTTTAGCGAATGTGCTCATTTTAATGTTGTCTTATCTTATATGACTGCACATCCATCAATATTATATCTTTGAGACACTCATCTTGTGGATGTGGACTTTAGCTGCCCAACATTCACTCCCAAATGTTTCTTAGGATTTGATGTCATGCGCATGTTTGTGTAGTGACAACTGTTCATGCCAAGAATCCACTGCAACTTGGATAGGGTCCCTAAAATTTAATGTCCTTATTTCCTAGGTTTTAACCTTGTGACTGCCATAGCATCTTCGAAATCGTTGAGTTGTAATGCCACCCCTCTGTAGCCACTGATATCAACATTGCCTCTTTCTATCTATGAATTTAACAATGGCCTTTCAGAAGCCTAATCGCTAGGAATCACATCGTGTTGTTGCTTTCACTGCTTCACATCCCACAAAATGGTGATGTGAGTGTGCACGCGCGCACGTGTTGGAGTATGATCACTGGTGGAGTAAGAAAGTAGACAAAACGAAGAGCAAATGACCAGGTACTATCATCAAACAAACAACGTCCGGTGTATTAATATATCAACGCAAACCCTCAAATTTTGTTTATGGAAATTAAACCTTTTTCCTCTTTAAATATGGCAGCTAACTAATCTATAAACTGGCACAGTGGTATGTCTTTATTTTCTTTTCATAAGGTGAAAATAGGAAAATGAGCTAGTATTTTTTTGTATGCCAAAGTTCATTTAATTTGGCAAGGGAGAAGTTGGTGATATTGCTAACTTCATTGATGTTCAGCTACTGGGCATTACTTTGTGTTTTTGTAAGCTATTCTGTTTTGGATATTCTTAATTGCTTCTCTAGATTGGGGGCTTTGTGGTGGTCCAGTTGAGTGATTGTGATTGGCATGAGAACGATCCACTTTGGGGGGGGGGGGGGGAGAGATCCACTTGGGGGTTGGGTTTTGGGGGGGGGGGGGGAGGAGAGGGACTAAAATTAATTGAAGTTGTAAATGTTGAGTTATTTGTCTTGCATTATTGATTGAGGTGTACTATAGTATGGTTATATTTGCTTTGGCAACTGATAAACAAATGGGTTTTATGTTGTCAAGAATATTCTGCTGTTTTAATTTGTTTGTACTTCAGCCCACTTATGCTCGATGTCCTGATGAAACATCATGATTTTGATGCTGGTAAACTTGTATAATGTCGGTACTGGTCTTGTTTTATTACTTCCACTTGGCAGTCTTATTGATTTATACCTCATTCTGGTCAGTCGTGGTGTTTCTCTTATTTATAATGCTTCTTTTCACCACTTCTTTGTATGATTGCCGAGGCTTGAATTTAGGAGAAAAATTTTACCTTGATATTTTCTTATTTGTTTGTTGCTGTGTTCTCTTCTCCTGGCATATTTGGAGGGTAGAGCTGTCTATCATCTTCATCTTTGCTTGGTTGTTTTCTCTCATAGATTGCTCAAAGGAATAGCTTGGACGTTGATGTCGACTTGGCTCTGGGATTTGCCTCCCATTATGGTAAAATTGGAACTATGGAATGTCTAGTGGAAGAAGGGAATGCGATGGCTTTCTTGGGACCTTTGATGAGAGCTGCTGAAAGGGGCTGCATTCAGGTAGTTGACTGGTTTGTTAAAAGAGGTTGCAGAGACATGGAACTATGTCTCGCCCTCACAGCTGCTACCTCCAGTAGTCAGGTTGAAGTTGCCGAATATCTCCTTCCTCACGTTCCTCAGCATGTTCTTGCTGCCCTAAGTATCGAGATTCTTAAGGCTGCTGGTGAAAGAAGTGGCGGATCTCTCGATGGTGTAGCATTTCTCCTAAGTTCAGATTTCCTTGGTGATCCAGCTGCAACTTATGCGGTCGCCGACAGCATCGCTAAGTCGGATGACGAGGCTGTCGCTCCTGAGCTCAGGTCTTTCCTTCGGGAGCATTGGTCGGAAGCTGCTTTCTCAGACGGGCTTAGGCAAGGACAAGAACACTACTTGAATATCGTGCGTATTTTGAAATGGGGGGAATCTCCCGTGTGTTTGGCGGATCTTCCCGGGCCCTTGAGAGTAGCAATAGCATACCTGCCGCTGTATAGGGAATGTGTCAAGGCAGGGGGTTGCTTGTTATCACAAAGGCTTAGGGGGCAGCTCGTGGAAGCAGCGAAAAGGCTTGACGGCGTCGTGTTGGAAGAGGTAAACCAGGGAAGAGAATTATTGGCTGTTTTGGAGCATCATATTCCCCCATTTTTGGTAAATGCATCCAATGGTGCTTAGGATGATAGCATCTTTTAGATTTTGAAAAAATTTCACCTCTCTTCACTCTCCCTTCACAAAGTACAATAACACAATAGTTGGTGGGGTTGAAGGTGAGCAAAATGTCCTCAAGGTTGGTCAATTATCTGAATGAACCAGTTGTTGGCTTAGATACATAAATCTGCAGGGAGTTTGTACAATGCATATTCTGATGTGTATGTTGAGTAAACTACATTCAGAAGGCTGGTAACGCGAATGGGCATACACGTTGGCTATTTTCGTGGCGCTTCTCCTTCTTTATCCGGTGTTTACACTAAACCAATAAATACATGACATGTCTTTTCAATATCTACCTTTATCACTAATTATGATGAATTAACATATATTATCACTTCAATTTACCACTTAATCATGGTAAAGTAATGTGCTTTGGTGTAAACACTGGGTATCAGTTAGTTTTTTCCTTTTATTTAATCTGCTGCAGCTTATCTGTTTATATTGCAGCTCCAGGAAGTTAACTGTCTAGGTTTATGGAGTTCAGAGTGTGATCCATCTGTTAAGCTTAGTATAATTCATATCAGAGTATCTGAAAAAAATTGGAATTTTTCTCACTTATGTTCTACTCAATTGGAACAGGGAAATTTCTTTCTAGCCTTTACAAATCAATACTCTGCTCACTTTGGAATTTGTTTTTTTGTTTTTTTTTTTTAAAAAAAACTCAGGTTGAACTATCATAACTTTTGTAAAGGTAAAGAATTTATTACCATTTGAAGGTAAGGCTGTCCAACGGGACGGACCGTCCTGCGTCCCGTCCCGTCCCACTTAGTTCTAAACGGGATGGGCCCATGTTAAACGGGATGGGACAGGATGGCCGTTTTGTTCCGTTTATCTCGTCCCGCCTATCCCGCTTCGTCTTGTCTCGTTTCGTCCCGCGTTTCTTTTTTTTTTTGTGGTTAATTTTGGTGTTTACTTTACGTGTTCTATTTTCGTATTTCATTTGTGTTTTTAATTTTTGTGTTTAACTTTTTTAATTTAATTTCGTATTTAAATTATGGCACCTAAGAATGTATTTGGCGTATTTAAAAAAACTAGTAAAAAAGGTAGTAAAGATGAAAGTAGTAGTAATCCTAATCCTAGTCCTAATCCAAGCCCTTCTCCTAGAATTAGAAAACATATAGATGAAATGACTCATGTTGATGAAACTTTATTTTTCCAACCCCCGCATGTTATAATATTAATTTTGGAGAACAACTAGATCATGAAACTTTACAAAGACAATTTGGCAATGTTATTTTTATTGAGGACGAAGAAAATGAGGATGAAGAAAATGAGAAAGAAGAATTAGATGAAACACCCACTAGTCCCGCAACATTGCCAATTCTAGAACAATGTGCGAGAGAAATTATAGATAAGTTACAACGAAGTTATATAGGAGCTTACAAATATTAGTATGATAATTTGTAATTGGCTACTAAGAGGCCTAGTTCAAACAGAATCCTTCCTAGAAGATGGCTGCGTGGATTAGGTGCTCTTCAAAAGAATTATATTTGTATGTGAGATTTGAAAGTTCTATTAATAAAATAAAAGGTTCTAAGTGTTGAATGTTTTGTATGAATTGTCTTACACTCTTACTTAGTTACTTAATGGCTTGAAATTATATTAAATAAACTAT